AAACAGCACCAAAGTTTTTACTTTCTCGTGTACGTTCACCGATCTGATCTCACTCGAAACTTTGCGGTTTTGAAAAACATTCATTAATATTTGGGGTACTTTACATGACAGCACTGGAACATTTTCAAAATTTTCTCAAAAATGCCTCAAATTCTTTTCTTCAAACTTCTTGCAAGAATATAGTGAAATGCACTTACAAATGTGGCTCAGGTCCGATTCACACGGTTAACTCTACTTTTTTGAAATTTTTTTCTTTCGGCATTTCTTTCGGCATCTTTCAACAACTACAAATTTGAAAATAGAGATTTTTTCCTTCAAATGAAATTTATTCGAGTTTTTAGTTCTTTTGTTAAGATCATGTACATTATGTTGAATATTTTAGTAGTTTTCGCGCAATATTGGGTACAATGTATGCAATATTACAAATAACAAAAATTACGATTTTCTCAAAAAACGGCTCCTATTTTTTTCTTTAAACTTTTAGTAGGGATAGTGCTAAATGTACTCTATACGATGACATTAATTTCATTCCGTTCTATTCTTTCTTTTTTTAATTACAAAAATCTAATGTTTGTCTTGTCGCTCACGTCATTAATATTTATAATGGCGACGATTTGTTCACACTGCATTTACGAGTACATGATGTCTTAAAGTTTGGCGAAAACCAAACTTTTCTGTAAAAATGAGATCAAAATTCTACGTTTTCAGAAACGTTTAAACGCCATTTTCTCAAGAACGGCTACAATTGTTTTCTTAGAACTTTCAAAAAGATAGTGCTAATTTCACATTTTAATGTTTAATGTTTAATATGACATTAAATTAATTTTGGTGTATTCTTTTGTTGTTGTTTTTTCAAAAATTACACAAAAGTATTCTTTTTAATATCTCTCACGCCTTTAAAATGCGCATTGCCAGCGATGTGTAAAGTTTTTTGCATTTGTGAGTGGAAATACTTCAAATGTCTTCCAATGAAGATTTTCGAAAACACAAAGGTTTTCTCTGAAATAGACATTCAAATTTCCCACTTACAATAACGCTTAAACGCCATTTTCTTAAAACAACAACAACAAACAAACACACACGGCTCCAAATTTGTCAACGAAAATTTCTTTATTGGACGAGGTTTCACTCTTTAATATATATCAAGAAATAGTTCGGTTTTACCATTAAACACCGAAAAATTAAGGACATTTAAAAATAAAAATAAAATACTTTAAGGTGCGATAGATGCCAACTGGCAAAAGTATGTGCTAAACCGAAAAAAACTCAGACCAAAGACTGGTACGAAGAAGTCTGTGCCATTCTGTAGCACCACTAGTTTCAAGTTATAACTGAGTTTTAGAGTGGCAGAAATTATAATTTCTGCCAACAATTATACTTCAATATTACGTAACTATTTGCAATAATGGGGGAAAACATGTTCTGTTGTAGCTTTTTCAGTTTACTACTTTTTCAGTTTATTGTATAGGGGGGGGGGCATCCTTGGCGAAATATCTTTTTTGGTAAGTATTAATATGAAAAGATAAAAAAAAAATGTATATAGCTCATTTTACTCAAACCGGGAAAGGTGGCTCGGGGCATCCACTGATGTCACTGCAGAGGCTATGACGGATGTCCTATGTTCGAGTCCCCACGGTGGCAGGATTTTCGACACTGGCTTGTCACCTAGGACGAATTCACTCGCTCTCTGGAGGAGAATTCTAGAGGCCGGTTGCTCTGATCGGAAGTTTTCCGTGGATGCTCCGATCAACACAAGCAAATGCCTGAGCAGTGCCCTAACATACGAGCCACGAACCGCACGCGATCTTTGTATCTTTTCTTTGTTCTATCCCCACCCCTCAATTATACATACTTTCACTAGCATGCACTACACTACCACACATGCCGAGAGACCGGTTGGGAGCTTAGAGCTTGTCCCGGGTGAGGCGGGGCCCCGCTGGTGGGAGATACCTGGTTGGGAAAGTCTCGTTAGCCGACGGTAGGTCCGCGCCGAATCTCATCATCCAGCGGGGGGGAAAACCACCCCACCTCCCGAGGAAAAATGCCCTACACTTGCGGGACCAATGAGCTAAGCCGTTGACGGGCTCGTAATCATTAACAATAAATCTAGTTGCTCACATTTTACAATACAATCTCGGGGACGTGGGGAATTTAGATTTAGAGTTATTTTGGCAAAAAAATAAAATAAAAACTGTATGTGAAGTATGGAGGAGATCACCTGAGCACGTTATCTTGAATCCCTTCTCATCAATTGAACGATAAATAGTTGAAAGATGAGTAAAAGTTCAAGATTAAATAAATAAATAAATAAATAAATAAATAAATAAATAAATAAATAAATAAATAAATAAATAAATAAATAATAAATAAATAAATAAATAAATAAATAAATAAATAAATAAATAAATAAGTAAATAAATTTTAAAAAACCGTGAGATTATTAATATTTGGGAAAAAAACCTTCATTTTCGTTCCTGAGTTACAGCAAACTTATTTGCCTCGGGAAACGAATTACAAGTATGATTTTTCTGCATTACTAACAAAAACATAACTTGCCCTTACCTCTACGCCTATCATTACATCAAAAGGAGGGTAGTAAACGTAGGAAATTGTAGATTATATAGAAGTATGTGAAACTCCCCGCGTTGCCTGAGTGTTCATCACAATAGGCAGAGAAAGGAGTGAATTATATTTATTACGATTTTTTAAAATTATTTAATTTATTAAGGATTGAATTATATATAATATACTCCCACGGTACCTTTTCCTATCCTGTCCCGTTCCAGCTGCCAGGGATCTCCATTTCACCCTGCCTTGCGCCCCGTCTGAAACTGCCCTTGCCCGCCTCGCCCCACCATTACTTGCTACCATTTGAGGAGTTGTGCATATATCCGTGCACATTGTTGTTTATTAACAAGTTATTTTTTGAACCGGACCCCTGAATAGTTAGTTACCGAATTCATCACTTTTAAAGGGAACGAAGAGAAGATAGACTTTTATAAAATTTCAAGAAGCCAGCTACATTTCTGTTTTGAAGTTCACTTGCTCAAAATGACATTAAGATAGAAATGAAAAATAATTTATAAAAAAATAAAAAATAAAAATTTAAAAAATCGTAAAAAAAACAAATCATCGTTTATCAAAGTAACTAAGACATTAAAATTGGGAACAGACACTAATTTTATTAATATAAATTGTATTAATTTTATCAAATGTATAATTATTTTAATTTATTTAATAATTAAATATACATTTACAAGTAGATTTTACATTTTGTGTAAATATTTACATGCTCTCTCTACTTCACACAAGCTGTCACCCCTAGGCGGGTACTGGGCGCTATCGAAACACACCTTCTCTCTAGTGGAGAATCATCGAACTAAGCCAACGCTGTGAAAAATAAGGTTAGTGTAATCGTATTACCCACGCAGGGGAAAATTCAGCATTTTAAACGACGAAAAAATAATTTATTTACACCAAAATATATCATATTAGCACAAAACAATATCGTGTTGATAATTATAGCTGAAGTTGATTGTAGTAAAAAACTTAAAGATGTGCCCTGAAACATGAAGTCCTCGGTAGTATAGTGGTCAGTATCCCCGCCTGTCACGCGGGAGACCGGGGTTCGATTCCCCGCCGGGGAGACTTTTTGTTTTTTATATAAATCAAATATTGTAATTATGACTACTCCATTTGCTCCCTTTTCTGATAGTTCGCATAAAATTAATAATTTTAATACGCTTGAAAATGAACTTCATTTTTGAGTTCTTTTATGAGTAAGTCATATATTAGGAATGGGACACCACCAGCCATGACCCTAGCCAAAACATTAGCAGGACAATTAATAAAAGTTAGATAATCTGATTCGATAATTAAAAAAAAAGAATCATTCTTATTTTATTTATTTTTTACCCTTGCTGATTTTGGCCTAAGTATACAATATTTGGATAACTGAAAACCACAATAGGCCGTTTGTATGACAGACTCTGTTAATTTAAACAATTTTGACATTGCTTTGATGCCGTTTTGAGAATATGGTTACCATGTAATAGTATTTTACTGAATGATCCAGTATAATTGTCATTTCATCCAAGTAAAAACATTATAATTATTGTATTATTAGAAAATCAGAAGTAATAAAAATAATGTTGAAAAAGAAGTTTTAGTTGCAATATGGTGATTTGATTTGATTTGATTTAATTTTATACGGAATATTGAAAAAAAAAAAAAAATTGAAGGATGTTCAGAATTTAACTTTTTATGTGGAAATAAAAATAAGTATATCCGTGAAGTTGAGGATATAGGCCCAGAACAAAACAAATTATGAATTGCTATACAAATGTGGTCTGAAGTGAATGACAACTATAAAAAGTTGCCTGAAGTAGGTAATGAGAAAGGTTTTAATTAATACAGCACCAGCAAATGTAAGTAATGTACCTGCTATTGAATATAAATACATTTTAAACTTTAAATTATGAAATATTCATTTTTTTTTATTTACAAAAATTAGTAAATTGTCAGTCGATAAATTGGTCTTTGGCAACGCAATTTCTGCTTGTGGATGGCGCAAAAAGCAATACGCAACATTTCTATCTCAACACTCAACAGAACATGTGATGTAAAGGAAATAATGAAACTAAATTAAGATATGACTAAATTAAGTATTGTGTGCAATTTCACGATGAAGTTCTGTCCTACGAGATTAACATCAAACATCCTTAAGTCTGTCCAACGCATTTTATTTGAAGACCTTTTTTGCCGAATGGTTTTAACTCGACGCGTAGCTACGTTTATCGAAGTTGGCGGCAAGGCCTCGGTGTTTGCCAGTAATATAAACATCTTTGAGCATGTCCAATGCATTTATCATGGAGCTATTCATAGCTTCATGCATTTTATGCACAAATATTTGTTTTAATTAATTAAACCGCGCGATTCTCATTTGAACTACGAAACAGAACGCTCTCGTTCGCACCACTCGTTCTCCGGTTTCAAACACTGATCTCGCTACGCCGGAATCGATTCATTATGATAAAGGCTAATACCCCAAATTTCTGGGTAGATCACGTTTAGCCCAAAACGTGGTCTGATATTGATTGTTTGCATTGTACCGAAGGGTTCGTCCAGCTTCTCCGAGTGCGCTATTTATTTTTTGATCTCTCTCTCTCTTGTTGTTGAATCATCGTTCACCGCAATGAACGTAATCTTCACCGAATCGTGTGAATCATACTTAGAGTAATGTCAAGGAACAAGATTCTTCCATGCGCTTCCATAGTAATATGAGCAAAATTTTGACGTGTTCTTTTGATTTATCTCCAAGAAATTATTAAACGTTGTATAAATTGTAAATATATATAACAAAGAAGAGTATTCTTTACATTGCAACCTTTTCTTCGAGAAACCGTTGTAGGCTACTGTACCTGTCAAACCAGGTCTTGATTGCTGAGATGGAGTTGCAAGATATTTTCTATAATAAAGTAGAATATGTGGAAACGGTGAGAAACTTTGTTACACGATGACATTGAATTTGAGATCTGATTTATTGAAGTTTTCTTGTCTTCTTTGTTTTCAGGCATCTGGAAATAAAGTAAGCAGACAGACTGTTCTCTGTGGTTCTCAAAATATTGTTTTGAGTGGAAAAGTGATAGTTCAGTCAGATGCAATTATACGGGGGGATTTGGCAAATGTAAGAGCTGGTCGACACTGCATAATTAGTAAGCGTGCAGTTATTCGTCCACCTTTCAAGAAATTTAGTAAAGGGTAATCTCTTTTCATTCATTGATGTTTTGGGGGACAGTTAGCCTTTAAGTCTCCTTAACACAAGAAAGCATTAACAAGTATTACATTATTTACAGTGTTGCATTTTTCCCCCTTCATATGGGTGATCACGTATTTGTTGGAGAAAATTCAGTAGTGAATGCGGCTGTGGTTGGATCATATGTTTATATTGGGAAGAACTGTGTCATAGTAAGTTATACTTAAGCACACGATTTTATACATTTTTGTTTTATATTTCAACGTCCTTTTCTACTGATTCAATAAAACTGGAGATTGTACATAAATATAAAACGAAGTTATTGTGTATATATAAATATGAATAGTAATCTAATATTTATGAATTATTCATTAACTGATAATGCTAATTTTTCAGGGCCGGAGGTGTGTACTGAAAGATTGTTGCGTGATAGAAGATAACACAGTGCTCCCCCCAGAAACAGTTGTGCCCTCATTCACACGTTATGCTAGTTCTCCTGGAGTGTGTATTGGTGAACTCCCAGAATGTACCCAGGACCTTATGTTAGAGTTCACTCGCAGCTATTACCAACACTTTTTGCCAGCAAAGTAAACTGCACTCAAGGTTATTAAAACAGACAATAAAGTTGGTTCACAATTATTTGTGAAAATAAGCAGTGATATTCTATATTTATTTTACCATGCTGTTAAAATATTTGTCAAATATACTGAGTTTCATTATTGTAAATCATTACAGTATATTTATTTAGGAAAGGTCTAAATACTCCTTACTCTGTACAATTACTGCTTTTCTTGTTGTTTTCACCGATCTGAGGAGGAATGAATTAATTGCTTGAAGAACTGAATAATTGAAATAATTTGTAAAATTCATATTGGTGCAATAATTGTAATAAATAAGCTTTACGATGAAATTGAAACTGTTCTTTATTGTGTATGATAAACATGAAATACTGCATTTCGAGGATGATGTATGAAAAATAAAAATTCAAGGAAATTATTTTCCTTCGTGAAAGTATTTTATAAGAAATGTTTAACTAAATTGTACATGAAAAATGTTCATTCCCATGCTGATGCAGCTCTACGCAGTTTACATAATTCAGATTTCTATTATTAAAAAGATAAACATTAACACAATTGAATATTTAAATGACCTAATTTTTATTTTATCTATAGATTCAGTGTCTCATAATTAAAAACCTTTCATAAGTAGACATCAGACAGCATCCAACAAAAGTTGCTGTTTAATTACAAAATTTTTGCATTCTTCTAAAGAAAGGCTCCCAATCTTTTTTACTTGGTTACAGAATGTTGGGTCAGAAGAGCAGAACAGTGTGGAATAAGCTTTCCTGGTCTTGTGTTTTGTAGGGCTCTCTGCCAATTTGCACGAACTTGTATTCTTATTATTTTAAAGTTCAAGAAAAGAAAATAGGAATTACTGAACTTGTTAACCAATATATTACTAGTTGAAAAGTTAAATTTCTATTTTTCAGCTTCCAACATTTTAATTTTCCACTGAAGTGCTTTCAAGATCATTAAGATATCAGATTTTTGTAAAATCATGTGTAAGTAGAAATGACATATCAGAAGTATTAAAGAGGAAAGTGTTACTTCATAACATAAATGAAATACTTTGATTTTAAAATAATGTAATGGCTTACAAATACATTAATAAAAATGAAAATTTATCTCTCTAAAACATTTTGACCTTTGAATTCCCTATCAAACCCCTCATTTGTGCATTAAGGAAAATTTTATCCCTTTGTTAATTCACTATTGGTACTTAGTTCTCATGCACAATATATCTATCGAGCAATATTGATATTTCAAAAATTATTTATGTTGAGAAAATAATTCGTTACTGAAGGAAGCTTGGACACACTTTTATACAATCCACTAATGAACTTTATAACATCTAGTGTAATAACCTGCGACATTTTTATGTTTACTGTTGTTCTGAAGGACCTAATTTTCATAATTGTGGTGGAAATCTGGAATTATTAGTAAGGAATATTTATTGATTAAGAATGACAACCAAATTAATATATTTTTTACTGAACCAAGTGTTGAGTAAATTACTCTAGGTCAAATATTATATTGATGTGGTGAAACAACACTGGCCAGTTCCTGTATTTTTGAAGAAAACCTGTGTGATTAAGAATTATGAAGTATGCAAAAACATATTTTACTATATGACTCATTTTGTTATTTATTGCAATGTACATATATCCCGTTTCCCAAATTTTCTTCAGTCAAATTCATCCATTTACCTGAAAAAATGATTTTGAATGCAGAAAATTAATTTTGAACAAGAAAATATGTAAATAGGAGCATTCTTACTACAGAAAATTTGCAATTAAATTCCAGAATAATATAAGTAATAAATAACTCATCTGTATGCAACATTTTCTCTGCAAATGCCTTTCCCTTCTACTATATATAAAGCTGGGAGATGTCAAACAATGTCATGCCACTTAACAATGTTTGAGCACTTTGCAGCAGGAGCTCCCTTGGCAGTGTGTGGTGCGGACTCAGCTTATAACAGTAGACCATCTGTGATCAATCAGCATGAAGCCTCTCTCTTAAGGACATTTCTCTTCCCGCTCTATTACAACAGGATGTTTTACCAAGTCTATAAAGGGAACGTCTCCAATGTGTATTTCTCTTTACAAAATAGAAGTCTGTATTTGTTTGCTTTTCTGCTAAATTTCAGATTTTTTTGAAAGGTGCTACTCAATGACAGAAGCAACAGCAACATTGTCTGTTGCTGAATTCTAAAAATATGCAATTTATTCACAATAAGTTTGAATTATTATGATTCTTTACTATTATTTTTACTTACATTATTAAGTCAAGCAAGTTGCCCCAAATTACAGGACTATTTGTAAAAGAATATAAATTTATAATAAATTAATGTTTACATATTCAAAAATATGCCGAACTAGGGAAGTAATCTAATTGATAATCATATCTACACTATCATCATAATTAATCAAAAAATTGTTAGTAAGTTCAATGATGTTGAACAATTGTATTTTGAGGCAAGATCTGTTACTTGTAACAGGACATTCTAGGCTCTGGAAAAATGAGCAATCACCTGGGGAACTGACAATGGAACCTGAGACAAAACATAAGGTGCACATGTGATACGTCTGATAATCTTTCTTAATTAAATAATGTTACATCACTCTGTTTTCAAGACTATCTAGTCTAAATTTCTTGAAAATTATCAATTAATGAGGGGGATTACATCCAGTAGTCTAGAATTCAAGGTACTTCGCAAAACTTCTCTGACATTAATAAGTTCAATCCTATTTTATCTGGACCACAAAGCCAATATGCACTAAATTTTCAATTTTACGAACACAAAATATAGTACCTACAATGTTTGAATATTTTTAAAGTTCCTTCTGGTTTTCAAAAGATATCAGAGGGATCAGTTACCCGTGAGAATAACATGCTCACAGAATGCTTTAAACGAGAGTTGATAAAAAATTACAGTTTTTTTTTTCAAATTGACTCTTTCAAGAACAGTATCAAAGATTGAGTAAACATACTGAATATGCAGAAGAAGAAAAAAAAAATCTAACATTTGCTAGGATAAATTATTAATTTATTATGCAAGCACTTTGATGCAAAAGCATCAAGATTACTCTGCAATCTTAATAATTTTGAAAGACATGAAAAACTATCCACAAATTTGCTGCTTGAATTATTTGATTCATTCCTATCTTTACTTTATTGTGATATAAGTTGAGGAATAGGTAGTTAAAAATTCAGCATCAGATTTGTAGGTAAGTATTACATGACGTACTCCACATCTTTTTCTACAGAAGCAATGTTTGGTTCCTCAAAGCTAAGAGATATTTTAAATATTTTATAAGATAAATGAAAAATATTAGTGGGTATCTACGATAGATCCATAATGGAATTGTGACTTGTACATTTCCTCATCTTCATTGCAAAACAAAGTCTAGTCCCATTGTGTTTTAGAGTTTGAAAACTAGCATTAAATTATGGATTGAAGTTTTTTAAAATATGATAAAACAAGAAAATGACAACTGTTAGTCATCTTTTCCCAAAATATAATATTCAGAGCAAATTTAATATGTTTATACGAATACCCAGGTAGTTGTTCTTTTGCTTGATGAAGTATTCATTACTCACACATGGTAATAAAACAAGATTCCTTGAGAGAATTAACAAGATCAAACACAGATTTTTCAGGATACAACGATACTGTAAGGTAAGCCAACACAGTTTCAGTTCAATTTAGATGTCACCAACTTATCTTCTATGACTAACTAGAACCTACTTTTTACACCTTACAAAAAGGTTCACGTAATGAAAATCTTCTTGTGACGTAAATAATATGTTCTTAATAAGTTATTTTCTCTTTTGTAATGATATATAAGTAATGGCTCAAACAAACTTACTCAACAAAAATAAAACTATTTTGTGAGATAGGTATCAGATGCACTTTTAAGCAGATGTAACACACAAAATAATATAAAAGTATATTTTTGGTACCAATTACTGTTAATTACTTGTTTCCAGCCTGGATAAACAGAAATCACTATACTGGTAAATAGCATTACGGCACTTACAACATATGATCTATCAAAGATAAAAGGGAAAAATTGGTATCAAATCAAATCTACACATCATCAACTGATTAACATACTAACAGTTGGCCAACCGTTATTATGAAATTAGTATTGAAATTAAGTAAATAAACAGTGTTGTCCAGTATCAAAAGTATATTTTAACATAAGATATCTATCATCATCAGAGCTATCCTGCAGTCTCTGAGCGGAAAATTAAGTACTTTATAATTAGAAGGTATCTATTTCACCAGCAATCTTATTAATAGTATTGTAATACTTACTTTGTCCCATTAATAGCGAAATATCCGAAAATGAACGGATATTCACGAATGCAATTTCACCAAAATTCTTTGTTTGATTCTTCAACTTCGAGTCTTTCGCCCAATGTTTGATCATCTCCGGTCATTAGTTCGATTCTTCACCTCCAAAGTAGCATTAATAAATAACAAGAACGGGCGATTCGTCCCCCCGCTTGAAAGCTACATCTTTGAATCTTTGCATCTTCTCCCTAGGGTAAATAATTCCCTCCAATTCTTAAAAATTAATCTTTTCACAAATAATAAGAATATTTTTTTTTCTCACTGGGCTTTTATCTTATATACTTCCAATTAATTTCGAAAAATAAAAATACGTACTGTACTTGAAAGTAACAAGCAAAAAATGCAGTTCGACTATCTAATAAAATTGTCAACTATCGAACAAAAGAAGTAATGAAGGCAAGAAAATAAGCATGAAACTTACAAATTCGTAGTCACGTATGAGATGTTCGACCACGGTGTATTAAATGTTTCTTACACAGTGGTTTCGACGTATTCAGTTGATTCTTTTTAGAATATTTACAGAATGGAATTATAAAAAATTAGTGGCGTCACAACAATACAAAGTTCTTTCTCACGTTATTTATAAAGACGAAAATGCGAAAACTACTCATATTTTCAAAAACAGTATACATGGCGTTAGTTTACGGTCTAATTTTGAAACATATATTGAAGGTAAAATCTCTTAACATCAATACTGTAGCCGTAAGAAGACACCGAAGTTTTTGAAACTTTTGCAAATTTCAAAAAATTGTTTTTCCACGAAAACTGGACCCGCACTGTTTTTAAAAGCGTATTTTCATCGATCCGAAAAAATAGTAATTTTTGAGAAAATAATGAAAAATGTAATTTTTAAAATGTAGCTTCACGTAAGGCACATCCAAATATCCGTTTCAAATACAAGGACATGTTAGCGACATCAACCAGTTCTGATCGATGAAGGAATATCAACTTCGGTGAACTTCTACCTCTAGAGCCGCTAGAGTTGTTCACAGACGGATGGACAGAGAGACGTTTTCCAATTTTTGGATGTCAAGGTCCCACAAAGGTAAAATCGCCATTTTTCGCTGCAGCATTACATGACAATAAACAGTTTCAATGCATTTTTGCATTTCAAATCAGCAACCGCATGCATCATTGAAAATGAATATTAAGCACTTAGCTAAAGTTCAGGTAACAAAATTTCTAGATCTCTCAATTCAGACAAACCTCAAATGGAATGTACATATAACAGAATTAAACACTAAATAAAGTTCATAATGTTACGCATTCAGAATTCTTTCAAATACTGTCAGCTTTCATGCAGCTCCTTGAGTATATTTTGCAAATGTGCATTCCTGCCTGAGATATGGCATAACATTCTGGGGAAACTCATCATGTAGTACCCAAACATTTAGATTGCAAAAGAAAATTATTCGAATGATGGAAAAATACTATCTGCGTGATCCCTGCAAGCATCTCTTCATTGAGCTTGATATCTTATCACTGCCTTGTCTATTTATTTACGAATTTATTAATGTAACTCCATATTAACTTCTCCTCATAGCACGTCACACACAGTTTTTAACTGTTTTTGACATAAATAAATAAATAATATGTAATAGTCAAAACTGACATACTTAACAGTGGGAACATATTTTCATGCAATACTGATATTTATAATTACAACACACATCGTAGAAATCACGTCTATCAAGTGTCAGTATCAGAAATCCACATACAATACATGAACGTTACTTTTCAACGCATTGCCAAATCACATTAAACAATTGAAGTAGGCTCACAAATTTCAGTTAAAAGTAAAATCTCTTCTGCTGCATAACTGTTTCTATACAATTAGAGACTATACGGATTATCAAAAAGAAAAATAATGTTTATTTTAACAAAACATTGATATATAATGAATTAGTTTACATCTGTTTTGTATATTTTTTTAAAAATACTTAAATATGATTTTAACAAATAATGTACTTCAGCTTCCGGGTCAATGACCGCCATTTTGATCAGATCTTGATCAGGTTTTCGTCCAGTTTCTCTAATCTATTCAGAAATGGTTCAGATGGCCCAACACCACCTAGATATACAGTATCTAGGTGGTGTTGGATGGCCCCTTGTTTTGCTTCTGAACGTAAATGCGCACGTTTTGTTGAACTCTCCTTTTGCTTGTAATGGTAGGAGTAGAGGTAGGGGCGAATTACTATTTTGTTAGCAATGCAAAAAAAAGTCATATCTGCAATTCGTTTACCGATGCAAATAAGTTTTCTATAACTCGGGAACAAAAATGTCTAGTTTTTCAAATATTGCTAATCTCGCACTTTTTTAAAATTTATTTTTATTTATTTATCTTAAACGTTTACTCATCTTTCAACTATTTATCGTTAAAATGATGGGAAGGGATTCAAGAAACGTGCTCAGATGATGTGCTCTTCTCCTCCATACGTCA